ATCATACGCACCGTTTCATCGCGAAAATTGCAACTGGCTTACGCCTGCCAAGTGACGAAGGTACCGATCAGCAAATGTTTGGAGACCATGCAGTGCAATATTGTTTTCACAATGTGCGAGTCATCAGCCTAGGCGAAATTCGTCCTTGGTGCCACAGCTGACGCAAGTTGGAGAATATTGCGCTCACCTTGCTACTGCGTGCTCTGACTTCGGCCAAAACGCAATCACGGCTTGCTCCTCACCAGGTTAGTAATCCGGTCAACAATCTCGAGCTTTTCCTCATAAAGACTCAAGAGGATTGGAAATCCTGAAGTATAGCATTTGACTCTGAAGGTGCCATACTCGTTTCAAACAAGTGACCACTTCTGGCATTCGTGCTGTTCAAGTTCGTTAGTCTTTTCCTGGTATGATTTTCCTTGGTAGGATTTCAATACCAAGATTAAAAACCCTTTAAAATGTTCATTCCATTGTGACGTCGATGACAAACTGGACACGGTTTGGCGCAACTAGCCCCTCCCCCTAACATATATATATATGTATATACATATATATATATATATACTTTCAACCAGTGATTAATTTCACTACCTTTTTTAAACAGAAGATACATGTCGGAGTTCTCAAGCTGACTGTACCTGTACTTTGGCGTGTTTATCTTCAACCGATTTTTAGTTACATAACTCAAGAGGTAGTCACGATTCAATACACAACAACGTAAGCCTTGCTTTACGATTCAATAACAACGTAAGCCTTGCTTTTGAGGATAATAGAAGATGCAAAATCCGAAATACCGTCTGATGATCGTTATCATCATCGTCAGTATGACACCGATGTTTTACTGCGGTACTGGCGTGGTCTATTTGAAAGCCATATTGTAAAGAAAAGGATAAAAGTAGATGGTGATGCGACTTAGTGCTAGCCTATCACAATCATCATGAGGTGCCTACACCTCCAGACACTCATTCAGGCAATCTGGTTAAAAATTGACTACAAGAATGCGAGTGAAGTCGATTAGTGGCCGTATCTTGCAGCGTTTCTAACCACGCGGTGTGGGGATCATGCAGTCTACATCCTGGAAGGCAATTCGCACCGACAGCATGGAAACTTTTCGTAATCATTTTATACCCCTCTGTTAGGTGAAAGGTTGGCCACCTGTATTCTTCCGCCACTCTGAATTAGGCACGGAAACAGCGTGGTTCGGCATACGCGATAGGGGGCCTGACTGACGCAGCTTCTGGTGCGGGACACATTATTCGATTGAAGTCACTGTTGAACAACCGGACGCTCACTTTCCAATTACCTTGTTACAGATTTTCCGACACTAACCCACACGAGCTATGGTTCTGAGACAACGGTTGCCAAAAACCTGAAGACGTCCTGGTTCCGCTGCTCGAGCAGGCCAAGTATCACAGCCGTAGAACAAAACAGTCCGTACTGTGCCTGATACACACGTTTCTTGAGATTCAAGAATATATCGCTTTGACGCCATAGGTGCCTCAAATTAACAGACACCATTTGAGCCTTACAGATTCGCGCATTGAGCTCATATGTCACACTACGTTCGGAGCTAATACAACTTCCAAGATACATAGAACCATTCGAAATTTCCAGTACCTCTTTCTGGATTGTAAGTGGCGTGTCCAGTGACTGCATGTCCATGAGCATGACCCTACATTTTTTGGGTGCGAATTAGGTGCCAAACGACGGGATGACTTTGGTCAGTTCATCCAAAAATACCTACGCCTTCTCGTTCTCTTCGAAGATGGCAGCGATGTCGTCTGCATAATCCAGATCGACAAGGCTTTCTTCAGCAACTATTTGCACATAAGAGTTTTGATAACCTTTCAGCGTTCGTCTCATTAACTCATCGATCACAACGATCCTAATTGTCGTTCTAGTAGACACCAACTGATGCTTACGTGAATATGTCCAATTTAGTCCAATATGTCCAATATAGTCCAATTTTCTCATAGTTATCTTTATGGCATCTTATAACAATTTTCATCCGAAGATTATGCCTAACTTGGGAAACTCAACAGAAGTGAAAATCGCTTGCGCAAAAATTACTCGGGGAGAGGTTTTGTTCAGCTAAGCCGAAACAAATCATGAACCCCACTAGTTATGGAAGGCTTTTGGGCCGTTTGCTGTAATTCCTTACATGGCCAGGAGTGCGAAAGCAAGAAGTGCCATCCCTCTTTGATAAAATAAATGTAGAAGGGTTGACCTGTTGATGAATGTGAGAGTTCCTTTGAGGTAGTGGAAGACCATGACCGTTGATCGGCGGTATTGGTGACGTTGCCGACACCTTGAGTTAGTGTAGAAGCTTTATCGATCAGTCGGTTGTCAGGGCGAAATCTTGCTTGATATTCTTTGATTCGCGTTTTACAGCATTTAAACCAGTAGCTGTGTTTTGTTCAGGTTAAGGACTGTACATATACGGTTGGAACAGTCGTTCAAACTATGATGAGTGATTGACCTGATCTGTTTCCTGTTTCTGAGTAGGTTCAGTCTAGTTAAGGCAGAACACAGGAATCCACTACGTCTGACTCGGAAGCCCGGTGGCTTTTCAAGAGAGAGAGAGAGAACGGGTACTGATTGGTCATTTCCGAAATGATTTCGAAGAATCTGGAAGAGTTTAGGCAGTTTAGTTGGTTCGTAGTGAACATGCTGTTGACTTACACTGCCAGTACTGCAAGTAGTATTCCGGAACCCGAGGATGGACTTTATTGATGAACAAATGAGTGCTATTGAAACTGAGTGAAAACTTTCGTGTTTTCAGTCAGTTGAAAAGCACACATACAGCTGGAAGCCATACACGCTTTGAAACTTATGTATGTTACGTTGTGAGTACGTATGCCTTGTGACTGAATTGTCGGTCACGTTTTTGCACAACACTGTCAGACCTGGTCCTTCACGGTGTCGTGTGAATAAGCACAAATTCAGCACAACGTAGTCGACATTTTGCTGTAGGATATGAACGTCATCAAAGTTGGCCCTATGTTCTTCAGCAATTGCATGGGATCCGATCTCTCCAGTTTGATTATCTCGCTCTTTGAACAACCCAGGTATGCAGTTTATGTCCGTTGATCGAAACCTTTGCTTTTCTGCTGGTTTACCCGAAACTCTCGAGTGTGTGACATAGACAACGTGTCATAGACTACACTCGCAATTGATGTGTTCTCCCATGTAGTGCAACTATACACAATCGTGAAAACGTCCAATTTCCTTGCACTTAGAATCGAAAAACCAGCAGGTTAAAGCTCCTAAGACTGGACTTTTGGCGTCCCATAATTCATTAGGCCAACCACCAAGTAGCGGAGAAACCTTCGCTAACATGAGTTGTTCAGTAAATGTCTGAATGAACTTTAGATGGAGCTGAAAAGTGTGTATTACAACAAGGCATAAATCTCAACATCGCACGAAGCCATATCTAAACAGCCCACTCACAGTGGCTAAAGAAGCGGGACGTAGGGTTGCTGAATTCCTGAGGAACGAAAACCGGTGAACTCTAATCTTGTGAAGAATCGGTTGACGCTTATAACAAAACTAGACGAAGGCTGAAGAGACCATTAGCGGTTCTTTTCTCGTACTTAAATCGAACAATCAAACCAGATTCTACGAACTGGCAAAATTACACAAAGACGGTTTCCGTTGTGTCCGACTACATTGTGCTAGTCGCTCCATGTATACTTTATACGAATAAGATAATAAAAAAAGATAAACAGTCAGCTGTAACACCCTTTCGGTGCCTAGCTGCCATGCCACGCGAAGGAAGCACGAGGGCTAGGATATTGCCAGGTTGCCCAAGCCTAGACAGGGGAAGCTGAGATGCAGAGGTCGGGCTCGAACCACAGACCTTCCGGTCAGTGAATTCGCGCTCTAACCACTTGAGCCATCTCGTCCATTTGTACGAATATCTGGTGGCGATACTTGGATCACTTCAACGTAATATGGTGAGTCAGCTGACCAGTTGGGATGAGTGTACTCAGAATAAAACAGTTGATTTTTGACAACGAAGCTGATAAAACGCCCGTCAGTTCTGATATCGTTTCGCTTTGAATGAACGTTGAAAAATATATCTGGCAATAGTTTTTTGGTTTACAAGCGCTTCACGACTTACCTCGAAAACCAATGTCATATTTTGTCTGCCGTAGTTAAAACTATTCGACCTACATCTCTGCCCTCACCAATCAATTTTGAACTTTCAACGTTTGTTGTAAAGGGGATTTTTGCGAATGTTTTTGTACCAGTGTAGTTCATCACAAGCTTTTCATAAGGTTTTATGGAGCAAGCAAACGCAAGTTTTGCATGCCAAAGGGGTTCGATTTTTATGCTGATTCGAAACTGATAGTTTTTCTGAGAAATTCGAGGCATTCTATTTTCGTTTGATGTCTAACACGCACTGGAATATTTATTTTCCATAAGCGACAGTTATCGTTTTGTGCTTAGTCCCACTTTCGATGATTTATTTCATTTGAAGGCTGTGGGTTGACCGGGGCGATTACGCAACTACACACACTCGCCTTTGTAGCATATTCCGATTTACCGCCGGTTAACTTGGACCACGCAAGGGGTGGGGCTGACGTCTCGTCCTTCCGGTTTTGTGTCTCCAGAATAATCAATAAAGTAGAACAACATGTGAATTGTCGTACTTTCCCAGACCATACGCAGTGGGACTGATGCCCAGTGGATTATGATGACAGTCTAAATGCGGGAGTTCTGAGATGTCGGTCGTCCTTACACTTTCTTCAATTTTATTCCCGTTGAATTCGCATCATTCAAGAACGTTTCGATCTGTCTGGTTGTCCGTCTAAACACACTTTTTCCAGCCTTATCATTAGCTTTCCCACACCGCACTATACTTGTTGTGGGGACGGTATTCAACTGAATTTTTTCAACTTTCATTTTTTTCTCGCAAGTTTGATATTATTGTAAACTTTTTTGTCAATTCTCAGCGAACTACTGAAGTTACCTCGACTTCCTGTGTTCAAGCAATCTCATCAAACATCAGTCCTTAACATGGGGGGCGAGATGGCCCCAGTGGTTAGTGGCCCAGTGGTTACTGACCGGAAGGTCCATGGTTCGAACCCGACCTCTGCCACTCGACTTCCCCTGTCTAGGCTTGGGCGACCTGGCAGTATCTCAGCCCTCGAGCAACCTTCGGGTGGCATGACAGTTAGGTACCGAAAGGGTGCTACAGCTGAACGATTTTTTTCAGTCCCTTGCGTGCAGTTCAGTGGCCAGTGACAGTGATAGATTTTTCGACTTATCCTTTTTTCAAGTTATACCGCTTCCTGCTGCTGGCGAACAGTTTAAAGCCGTTAGCTGGATTTGCTCACAGGGTGAGGATAATTAGAAGTTGAGGCGTCTCAGTCAGTTTCGGAAGTGTTTAGAACCGAAAGTTTGCCAAACGGTCGATGGATTTGTTGTTGAGTAACACTCCGCTTTCGACATAAGCTTCTTCAGGCTTACTGAATAAATTGCCGGATTGATCGAGTTTCAAGGCAGAGGGACAGTGGGTTTTCTTTCAACTAGCAGAACTGAGTCGTGTTTGGTGTTGCCCAACCATCAATCTACCAATTATTCACCGAACCTCTCAATAAAGGGACGATACGGTAATCGGATGAACTACATCTTAATGGACGGTGCACCTCGAATGCACCAATAAGTGCATAGGCTTTTCAGGGTTTAGCAGATGACTCTCTTTCTCATATGCGGTGAGTTGCAGCAGAGGTGATCCCCATTTTTCCATTAGATTGCTTTACCCCTAACGCTCTGAGTTTTTTCGCAACATTTGTATTGTTCAGGACGGAATCGTGTTTCGTGTCTCTATCGCCCAACCACGTGAACTTCGTCTGTTGCAACAAATTGGTGAGCAGTCCAAAGAACCCGACCACAGCCTACCCAGTGCGGCGGACACCGTAAAGTCACCAGTGCAGACACCTAGCTCGTTGGCTTGGATCCGATTAAACCAAAGCATGCCTACGATCGCTGGTTTGCTTGCCGGTATTTCGCGAAGTAGAACCAACGTGTTCCCGACTGCTTGTCGGTTAGCCAAACGTTGGTTGTCCGCACACGGGTTTCCTGTCATCACATGCCCGTTTGAGGCTGAATTTGATGGAGTTCGTCATCTGGTCTACGACAGGGCCTACAAGACTAAGGAAGAGAGTGGTGTAGCTAAACTGGCCGATAAGAGGGATGAGCAGAATCTGTGGGATTCCGGCGCCCGAATGGCTGAAATAGCTGTAGAACTTCTGGTCGTATACGCCGGTGGCTTCTGCGACCCGATTTCTACCGACTCTGCGGTGCAGCATCCATCCAATCGAATCAGTGCCACTGGATCACCTGTGACCGCATTTTTGCGCTTTTTAAAACTTCTCGTTACTCATGACTGGGAAAACCAACCGATTTTGGTGGATCTAAACGAAGGCTTCTCAGGTACTCACATTTTTCTCTTCGTATTCCTATTTTGCTATCGCTTTGTGCATCGATCATCACAACTGCTCAATCAATTTAAATTGGGCTTCAAATTTTTGTTTTCTGTTAGTACACTGGTTCACTTCATTGCACATTTGAAAAAACCGAGCGAGTTCGATCGTAAGAGTGAGAAGCCATAGCTATAGCACCGTACAAAAGCTCATTTTCGCAGAATTTCCTAGGATTTTCTTTGCCGTATGCGATGAATTATCTCAAAATCAACCACATAAAAGATTCTCTTGTCAGTCATCAGCATCTTTGACTCTCTGGAATACTCACATTCCCTTTCAATATGAGCGTTGTGTTTCCGTAAAGAGAACTACTCACAAGGTTGTTGAAAACTCTTCGACAGCCAACGACCGGTTTTGCCCTTTTTGGGGCTCATAGGTAGGCCTAGTCCCCGAGTTCCCGTCAACCTTATGTTCTACTTGAACCCAAATTGAGCTGATTGTGACAGACACCCGTTTGCAGATCAGTTCGGTTTTCACGGGATACTCAAGTGAATTTGTCGTTTACGATGTTCTTCAACTGCTGTTCTACAGTTTGATATGCGAAAGAGAGTATTTGTCGATATCTGCCCAATTTGGGTTCAGGTAGAACATAGGGTTGACGGGAACTCGGGGACTGTGCCTACGTGGACGAAACCGGTCGTTGGTTGTCAGAGAGTTTCGAGCAGCCTTATTAGTAGTTTCTGCGATGTATCGAAACACGAGGCGGTCATTGTGCAGCACATTCGGTTGGAGGACATCATAAACGAAAGACTCACTTGAGTCTCCCGTGAAAAACATTGATTTGCAAATGAGAGTTGTATTTCCTTTAAATCCACCATCATATTTACTAAGTAGATAAAACAACACATACAGCATACTGAGTTTGAGCTGTCAGGGATAATTGGATTGTTTCATTGTTCAATATTAGTCGTCAGCTGTATATAGAGTCGTTTGAGAATACCATGGTTTATCGATTGCCGAAAAACTACAAACTTCACGGTAAGTTCCGGTCTTTAAAGTCGCTCAGTGTTCTCACAATCGAATTGCATTTTCGGAAGCCACAACGTGTCTCTGATGGACTAAAAGAGAAGCAACTGGGTTCAGAGTAACGGTCCAAATTTTTGAGCTCCATCTAGGCCTCCAGGGGTCCCAGAGGTGCTAGGAAAGTATTCCGCCAGAGGTTTGGGCACATGCGCAACAAAACGCAATATTTTGGCGTAAAACGTTTTATTCCGCTAGCAAAGGCTTGCAGATAAAAGCATTGTGCGGTCAGTGGGCCCCGTCTTTAAACCTGTTCAAAGTGTTTAAAATGTCGTGTGCATTAGCATGGGTGTTACTGTGGCGTAATAGTAATTTAATGGGTGACAATCTACAGGAATGCAAGCCCACTTTCGTAATGCCCCACCAAAACACTTGAGGCAAGCCTACGAGAACGTAACTTAGTCTAGGTTTACAGTTAGTTATCGAAACCAGATGTTTAGTTCATACCCCTTTTTCAAAACGCTCTTTTGTATCAGCTGATTATGTATGTGACACAGTTGTACCATGAAAGATGGGTCAATCTTTTGTTATTGTTGTCAGTTCTTCCAAACTAACCTTCATCCAAAGGAATCAGATAGGGTGTTTACGATGTCTTATTGGAATGCAAATACTTTCCTATATGTGCGTTTTCAATATCCCACTTCCAAGTTTTAAAACTTAAATTTTCTCACATTTTTCCCTATTGATCAAAAATACCATCGGTCTGTGCGATAGACGCTGACAAACCTCTGCTACTCGTGTGACCAAAGTAACAGTTGCCAAAAATCGCTAACAAATCACCTTATGGGCCGTACAACATGGGAAAAGTGATTCAGGGACAAACATATTGGTTCCGTTGTAAATGTGTTTGCTGTAAGCAGGGTTGCTAGAGTTGAGGCTTACTGCAGTTCGGCAGTTTCCGCGATGTAACGGGAGTGAATGAGTGTATTCGAAACTTTTTATTCACGATTTATCCTACCTATACCTTTGCATGGTACGTCAGAATAACCTGAATGCGCGTCTCTTAAGAGACTGTTATTTTGCTACCGTGAACCTAGGTATTCGTATTATTAGGATAACCAGCTCCGAACGTAACGGGACTACATAACTGCCGATGGAATAACCGTTTTTAGTTGAGACAGATTTCATTGGTTGTTCTTCACTCGCCCTTGACAGGTGAGTTGTATTCTTGGTATTACTTTTTTGACCCACTTGTGAGCGACAATGATGAATAGAGCAGCTGGCTCGCACGTTCATTGACTTTTCTGGTTTGGTTAAGCGCTCCAAGCTATTAAGCGGCTATCCAGACCGGCGTTCACGGTAATAAAAAGGCATTAAGGGACTGTGGTCCATAACAACCGTCTTATTGATTCTTTCAGCTCATCTAGCTTGTTTATTTTCGATGTTTCAGACTTCTTGTCAATCCTTGTTGTTTCGTAGATTAATCTGCCTTGAATCTTCGCAGAAATCTCCATCGATCTTCCAAAAGAGCTGAGGACGGTTTATTTCATAACCACGTCAGATTAATCTTGATTTAATCTGCACTTTTTCCCTCACGTTTTCTAACACGTTTTGTTGCTGTCTGCGAAACGAAATCGAAATTATTCGACTTACAGGAAATGCCTGTTGGTAATTGTCTCACATAATGGCAGCCAAACATGGAAAGGCTTGTGTCCCATAGGCCAGTCCTGCTCTGTTCGCATGCAGAACTGCACTGTTTCCCACTGGGTGTACTGAAAAATTTGACACTTTGCAGTAAAGTGGTTGTCCTGATTACGACCGAAATGCTCGTCAAAACAAAACTATTAGGTTAAACGATAAACTGTTTTCGAAGTAGCATAACTCCCAATACGATAAATGATACTAACTGAATTGGTGTCGCAGACAAGAAGTGGGTTTTTCTAGCGTAATTCTGGATGTTCGTACAATTACTCCGATGTTGGTGTCAATGCTAAATTCGAATAACGCCTCGTCTAGATTTCAACAATATCGAGGTGAGGTTTTCTAAGAGGCGAGCAGTGAAATTGGTGTAGTATTCAGACTGATTACTCCGATAGAAACAAACTAAATTATCCTCTGCTTAGTATAGACTATTTGAGCAAAGCAACGTTTAAATTGCCTGAAATCTCGGTAGAAGCAACTCTTACGAACGCTGAATGGTACACGATTATGCAAAACCGTGTTCGGGCTTCGATCCCTCGTGGCTATCATTCACATCCGGCGACATCATATGGTGCTAGTAATAATACTTGTCCAGAACTCAGTCCATTATCGGTCGGATTCATTTAAGATGATAATTGTCGGTCAGTACCTTGTTTCCAACATCATCACCGGTCAAAAAGTTTCAAAAACGTTTCAGCAGTTTTCTGCATATAAATCGATTGCCGTTCATTTTTTGAGTTATCTTTCCTCCGATCGCAGTAACTGTGCGCTTTCATTTGGCACACTTGCCTGCGGGCCGTTGTTTCGCCGAATGCCCTAGAGCGGAATCATATTGCACATAAACGTTGCAGGAAGATATTGCCCGCACGCAATGCCTAGCTTGTTAGTCTTTCAGCAACACAGGCATAGAGTGCTCGGGTAGGCTGGTCGATTACCCGACTTTCCGTCACGCATAGAAAAAGCTATTTGTACTACAGAACCGATTACGAACTTATCAATAATTTTCCAGGCTACAACCCACGACCCACAAGTTTCAACTGATCATTTGGTTTGAAATGGGACCATTGTTACCACCTTCACAGTTCCCATAATACGGTGTCACATCAATTTGCTTCGCTTGCCTGTTCACGGTTTTGGTGGAGCTGCTTGCTCAACCTCCCGGTCATCAGCTGTCTTATGCAACGATCGGAGCAGGCAGTTTCACGGTATTACTTTGCCATGGACCACTTTATAGTGGTCAGAGCTTTGCAACAAAGTGGGTTGTGGAAAAAAACTTTTAGTTTTGAACATGGTATTAGCCATGGAGAAGATCACCCAAACGCTTAGGACTTGGATTGGCTTGTTTCAGTTCGTCTTGCGAGACAGAAAATTGGCGCTGTTCTTTTCTGTGGAGCTCATTAGCAGTAGTGATAATAAGTGAAGTATCTTTCAGCTGTAACACTCAGGGCCTAGGCTTCACGTTACTAGAAGGAAGCAGGAGGGCTGAGCTGTTGCCGGGTTAACCAAGCCTAGACAGCAGCAGTCAGGATTCCAGGGTTGATTTCGAACTACGTACTAGCCGGTCACCCAATGTTGCTTAAATTCGGCGATCAGATGAGAACCGGTGTTTCCAAAATGGAATGGTCGCTGCATGGCCCTTCGCTATGGTCTGTTCCAAATGCTCCTCTCTTTTTGTTTGGCTAATACGACCTAGTCCACTTGTCTTTCTGAAGGACACAACCTGGAGGGAGCGTTCTATTTGACTGAGGTTTTTCTGTCGTAAGCAAGTGAAGTGTACGAGTGGTCTTTTCCCTGTGCTTTGCAAGCAGTTTCGACTGAGTGGCTTAAGCGAAGCTTTCTGCTAATTTTACATCAGCGCTCTTTTCCAACCAAATTGCCGATTCAAATACGGTTGGTCTAAGTGAACGCAACGACACATCCACATTAAACGGAGCTAAATGATCAAAATACACTCAAATAGTTTTTTTGCGAGAGACTCATCGGGAATTCAGCTGAATCTCTCATTTGTGATGTTCCCAGGCAACTGAATGTGCTGCACCAGGCCGCCTCATGTGTCATTTGGTACGATATTCGAGATATCGCGACACATTTGTATGGACGATGCACTACTCATAGGGTTGCAGAAAATTCGATAGCTCACAACCGGTTTCAAGTAGAATATAAGGTTGACGGAAACTCGGGGACTGCGCCTACTTAATAAGTCCCAAAAATGGCGAAACCGGTCATGGGCTGTCGAAGAATTTTCAGCAACCTTGCGAATAGTGCATTACGGAGCTAAATTACATTTATTTTGTTTGCATTATCAACTAACTGCCAGACAACCACTTTGAATCGGAAATCTAACTCTCGCTATTCACATTTTTATGCTTCCATTTGCCCAGGTCTACCGGAAAACTCTGAATATTCTTTTACGGGCGAAGTCTTGAACCTAGTTCGATAGTTTGCCCGGAACATGGTAACGCCCTGAACATGTCACACTTACCCTATGGATTGATACTAACCAGATAATGAGAAGGCTTTTGATATCTCTGAATTACCGCATCTGAGCAGGTGAACCTGTTCACGCTTGAGCGACGTGACTTGTTTGCCGTTCGGTTCATTAAATATCCCCGTTGGGTCGATTGACGACCTGTCCCTAAGGGATTCCCGGTCAAGTAGCGACAATGGTGCTGATTAGCTGTGGGTGGGATTTGTGGGATTGGTATTCCCGTTGCTTCCGTCTGAACAGCCGTCCTCTGTTCCCAGCACAACCGTTACGGTTGTCTTTGTTATACTATTGGAATACGTCTGTCGTATAATCTTCGGTTTCTGGTTGCGTTTCCACTCTGTTTAAGTGTGAAAATTTAATTTTTCCCATCGACCCAGATCATACTTATCAGGTAAATGTGCTACTCAAAGGTCACTTGATAAATTTCGGCTGGGCCTCCCACCAATGGCGACTTGAGTCGGTTCAGTCTCTTTAGTCACTACTACCAATTGCCGTTCTGAGTATTTATCTGGACAGTTACATGATACTCGTCCTAATCAGGTCGTGAAAACTCTCGAAACTGCATACTTATCATAACTCATCACCTCCAGACTATTCCATTATTCCGGTGTCATTGTTGCTCATGGTGAGATCATTTTTGAGTTCAGCTGAAGTTGAAACGCACTAAGCATAACCGTACTCACAACCGAAACATATCTTTCATGTCCAATAATTTGAAGATTTGACAAAGCGGCGTCAGGCACTTGCATCAATGGACGGCAACCGGGCTGTTCTTCCTGCAATGGTTATATGCACTCCCGCCGATCCTACAGGGACTGAGTGGACCACGATCGGCCCTACAAGAGCAGGTTTGAAAGAACTTCAAAGGTTGGCGCTTCAGAGCAGAGCATTACTTCGTGCTATGCTTGTGGCTGGTGCGCAGATCAAGGATTTGAAGGTATGTTTGTTTTCCTCTATCTCTGTTACTCTGCACAAACTCGACCATATTAAGGTTAATGTTGATCTTCAACCTAGTTGCTTTCTGGAGGATTAGTTTAAGGCTTCTTTCTTCTTTCCGATCGCACCAGTTCCAACGACGTTTGGAAAAGATTTGGCGTCGTGTTCACACAGCTAGCAGTGGATAGCTGTCTACTTCTTCCAGAGCTTTCTTTGAGCGCCGTAGGTGGCTGCTTTCTTGTTAGGCTACCGGGATCTGCATATCTTCTCATGGTCCACGTGATTCTGCTTGCCTCTGTGAAGTTACTCCACGTGATCTGGCACTTAGACGGTCTCATAAGATTACAAGATAATCACTCAGTTGTACCACCCTTTTGGCGCCTAGCTGCCATGCCATACGAAAGAAGCATGAGGGCTGGGATACTGTCAGGTTGTCTGAGCCTCGACAGGGGAAGTCGACAGGCAGATGTCAGGTTCGAACCACAGGCATTCCGGTCAGTAAATTCGCGCTCTAACCACTTGAGCCATCTCGCCCCCTAACCGGTCTCAGCGCAAACATGTCATCTCGTAGCCAAACTGGTTCACTAACGGTTTTCTGTTGCGAAGGATGTTGGGTCAATCTCACTGATTGCTTTTTACTCCGATGTGGTGCTCAGATACGCTTATCTCGTTGCTGTTCTGAGTTCTATGTACCTTGTTCTTGCTCCCCCATGGGTTCTTGTGGCTTTCTGTATTAAGACCTTTTCCTTCGTTTTCTTCCTACTCTCTAGAATATACCTCCCGGTTGTGTGGCAGTTAGGTACCAACATTGATTGTTCATGCTTATGATGCTGACGACTTAGTCATTGCTATCTTCCGATCTTTTCTATAATCTCAGGGCAGATTTTCTGCAGACATAAACATTCTTTACTTTCATTGGCAACCATGATTATCCTGTATCACTGGCACCGCACCAACAGCTTGCATAGACTTTCGGATTTGATTGTTTCTGTCGTGTTTGGATGATTCTGCATAATCCAAACCTGAAAGTCTATGCAAGCTGTTGGACTTTTGCATGGATGCATACTTTACCTTCGGTGGACAAATGTATCAACAGCTGAAAGGGACCCCAGTACCAGGATTTATCGCTGAGGCGGTAATACTAAGATTTGAGCGCGCGGTACTGCCAATAATCAACCCAAAGGTGTGGATCCGCTACGTAGACGACGCCTCTGTCATCATGAAACGAGATTCAATGCATAATGCACATGAACTGTTCAACACCACGTTTGAAGATATCAAGTTTACACTCGAACTGGATAAGAAGAACCAACTATCATTCTTGGAAGTTTTAGTGAAGAGAAAGGTGGATGGGACTGTGGAAACCTGCGTATAATGGGAGGAGACATACGGACCATATACTGAACTACAACAGCAATCATCCAGTAAACCACAAGAGCTGCTTCCAGACTTTGTTCAAGAGGGAGGAGTCACACTGCAGCACGACAGAATTACAGGAGGAGGAAGAAAACCATCCATTCAGACTATTCCAAGGAATTTTATCAGGAGAAGTTTGAAGAAGGAAACATCCCAGTCACAGCAAGAACAAGCCACCAGACGGGTAGTTCTGCCCTACCTCAAGAATATATCGTAACTCGCAATCGGATTATTAGCTTAAGAAGGAATTCTTGTGGCCCGCAAACCGAATGCCACTCCAAGGAAACCAATCTCAAAACCGAAGGATAACGGAGACAAAACCAAGAGGAACAATGTGGTATACCAAATCAACTGCAATGACTGCAACAAATTCTACGATGTACAAACCGGGAGGGAATTATGCACACGAATGAAGGAACATAACGCGGACGTCAGGAGACATGAACCCTTATCCCTGATATCTATACACGAGAACCAAGTAAGCCACAAATTCAGTTTGGAAAACACAAAACTTCTGACCTGCGGAGACACGAGACACGGAAGGGAATTTCTGGAAACATGGTACCCCACGGCGGGTGCGATTAGTCGATGCATTGAACTGGACCCAATTTACGCATCACTGCTTGCATGAGACTAACATGTCAACCGGAATACTCAAGGAGAACCGAATATCGGATTCACAAACAAGGAAACTAGGAACGCCTTGGAGTCAGATTTATGAAAGTCACAAGCCGGAAATCAGAAGGCTCAAGAACGGAGGCCACTCCAGCATCAACCAGAGTACGAGGGCTGGGGATGACAAGCTCAGGGGTCACATGGGTATCGACGAACCAGGACACAGGATAACAGAGCAACCAATGGAACCGACTCACTGAACAACCAATCGTGATCAAAGGCCAATTCCGGCTAGCAGCATGTATATTAAGACACGCGCAACACTGCTCAACGCGCAACTACCAACCCATTGCTACGCACCACTACGCTCTCTAACAACGCACTGATGACGCCACCTCGATTGGTGATGAAACGTTTACAATCAAGTTGGCCAGCTCAACGAATAAACCAACGACCATCTACGCTACCTGAGCTACCAAATTTCCTCTATAGAAAACTCTGTTGAGTGTTTTAATCTCATAGCTACTGGATTGGCTACCTTTCTTGGCCCGTCGATATTTGCTCATGGTTACTTAGCACGAACGATACCTTTGCCTAGGTAAGCGTACTTTGCTTGACATTTTACTTGGCTTGCGCTATGTATACTTCGTTCTAGTTAGTATTTTTAGTCGACAGAACCACTCTGGCTAATGAAACTGTTCGGAACGGTTACGTCAATAAATCTGTCTCTGTCTGAAGTTCATTCGAACCCTACTATCCTCTTCTGATGCGGATGGATTAGATTTACTGGGCTTATTCAGACTAGCTAGTTTGTCCAGTTGCCTTTCAGTCGAATCCGATTCCTTATGCTTTGGTTATAGGCTCAGTGCTGAAGAAAATCAGGATGACTAGATCGCACAGCTAATGTCACATTCTCCATACCTGGTTTTGCCTCAAACGCCTCAGTTGAACGCCCTGCTAGAATGCGGTTGAACATCGATGTACAAATTACTAAGTTGGAGGTCCCAATGCCTCGATGTTTTGAACTTGACAGGGTGACGCACTAATCAAGTTGAATTCTTTTGTGATGTGGATGTTGGCTATCCTCCTACTTTTGCGTGCTGATTTATCTCCACAGAATTCTTACGCAAAGGTCAGTGGGGTTCGTGGGATTTAATGGCTTTGTCAGCCGGGGCGGTCGAGGTGGTTCAGTGGTTAGAGCGCGAATTTACTGACCGGAATCTCCGTGTTTTGAACCCAACCTCTGCCTCTCGACTTTCCCCGCGCAGACTTGGGCGACTTAGCAGTATCCCATCCATCGTAATTCCTTCGGGTGACATGGCAGCTAGGCACCGAAAGGGTGCCACAGCTGAATGATTTTCCCCCTTGAATATTTAGTCACACTGTTTCTGGACAATATTTTATTCTGACCGGTGTGGGAATTCCATTTGTTTCTCTTCATTTCAGACAGTTTTCAAGCCAACGCACAACGATTTGAATATCTTGATCACTGTCAAATCAGACACACTTCATGTGCGTGCTGCAGAAGCCATAGACTTCGTGAGACCGAACACTTGGAAAACGGACGAACGTGAACCTAGCAAACTTGACTCGTTACCCGATGAGATTCCACCCCCGGGCGGACGTTTCTGGCCGTTGGGATATTGCTACGATCCTGTTGCCTATCTCGTTCATCTCTTGAAAGTACGTCTAAGTCATCTCCTTAAGCCCATTTTGGGGTCATAAGTTCAGTTTAACCCAGACAACCAAACTTACCCTTCTTGTGTCATAGAAATTAGCGGTAAACATGAGTATTTTATGATTTTCCACTTTGGCAAAGGCATATATAGACCTTCCTTTCGCTCTATCTTTCCTGTCGGATGTGTTCAGCTGTAGCACCCTTTCGGTTCCTAACTGCCATGCCACCCGAAGGTTGAACGAGGGCTGGGATACTGCCAGGTTGCCCAAGCCTAGACAGGGGAAGTCGAGAGGCAGAGGTCAGGTTCGAACCACGGACTTTCCGGTCAGTAAATTCGTGCTCTAACCACTTCGGCCATCTCGCCGTTTCCTGTCGGATAACGTCCCATAATTAGGTGCGTGACAATACGTAGTTTTCTACAATATTTCTTACAAGGTTTGACGTTCAAATTCGTGCGGCATGGTTGGAAAGTTACGTATTTTGGCTGGACTCGAAACACAAAATCAGCATCCACTTACCTGACAGGTACTTTAACCACAACGGAGTTAAAAAAGGAGCTCGCTCTCTGTCAAGCGAATGCTTGTAAACTTTACAAGTGATTGCCGCAGGTCTGTCCAATGGATTGACGATTAATGTTTGTTTGTTGGTATCACTAGTGTGAGCTTCGTGTGTGGCTTTCCCAATGGGCCACTTGTCTGGATGCCCAAAAATAACTATGATGAATGAATCCGAAAATCGGCTCAGTGTTCCGGTGTAAATTAACTTTATCGATACAAGTGGATAACTGCATCTCTGCTTTTTTCGGCACATTTCTGTTCGTTGTCTTCGTGAGCAATCGAATTTCGCAACTTTAGGAATTTGATCGAGTTTTTCTTGGAGATTCCAGTTTCCGGTCTACCAGTGTTTAGTCGACCAGCCCACGCTCACCCGCTCATGTGTATTTGGTGCAAAAATTAAATTGAACCGCTGACGTTATACTATGCATTGATGGCGAAAATGAGTGGAATGACATATCAGGATGATCGTAGAATACTGTTTAAGACAGAGACACAAGTTATTTCCCTCATTCTGTCTTTTTTAATTCAGCTAAATCGCTATGCAACAGACACTGTTGTAGATGTTCTTATGTATACCGTTCGTACACGTCGGTTGCTGCCAAGTTTGGTGCGTTACTGTACGGGGGTTGAGCAGGACAGCTTGGGGATTCGATTTATACGGGGTGTGATTAACCCCGTGTTTTGTGCTACTTTTTTAATCAGCTTCGGCCTAACAGCAGTTAAAGTGTGGTGCTAGAAATTCTCGGCCGAATTACCAAGTGGTTGACACTGACCTGTCCTCCTTATTTGTTTTTTTTTTTTTCAGCTTGATGGCCCGTTTGTATAATTGATGTATCATATTTCTGTTCATGTTTCTAGTGCCGTCTTGGTAAATATTGTGAAATCCGGTGGGATCGCCATGGCGGGAACTGGATCGGATTGAAGTGGCGTTCAACTGTCATGGGAAAATGTCCCTTTGGACAGCACTCACTTGACGGCCTAGTGACTCATGAAGAATCCGAGACTGAGATGGCTCAGATGGTTCTGACCCACAGGTTGCAGTCCGTCGCTGATCTATTGACTAGTTGGGCTCCATCCTTCATCGAGTCGGTTCAAATAATCCCTCATCGGACACCGTCCTCGAAGTGCTCAGAAAATGCAGCAAATCCAACGAACGATGGTCTGCGAAAGAGAAAGAGATCACAAGTTGTTTGATTATTTCTATTTTCACACTCCTCATGTATATGTATCACTTCTGAACCAATTGGCTTTTGTTTCAATGTCAATGTGGGTTTTGGCTACCAGTACAGTAGATCCAGCAGTAGACCTCTTGACGCCCGTACTACTTTGTCCTGGAGTGGTGACCTTGAAGTTCTAGAGGATTACGACCGAATCGCTTTGCCGGTTAGTACACTAAAAACTCACTTGAACTGGGAATAACTCGAAATTCATCACAAGGGAAATCGAAACAATTTATCCGCTTAATTTTTCCGAAAATATTGGAAGCAAGCATTCCGAACTATGTTTATGTTCTTCGGAACCATTTTGCTGCCCCCGAAACAATTGGAGTCCACTTTGATGGGCTCATGTCATGAACCAACGCGCTGTCCGTGACTTGCCCCTAAGGAGCAGGAGTGGATGAACGCTCACTCGGGTCGCTCTTCGCTGACCTGTTCGGAGCAATCCTGTGGATCGCTGATATCACCTTCGTCTTTTGCATGAGGTGCCACTTTCAGCAATTCCCCTAGAACTCGAATCTTTGTTTGGCGTCGCTGAACCGTCCTAGCGTAATGGTTGTGGGTTTCTTGAACATAGTGTGTGAGTGATTTCATCCGGTATGTCCTCGGATATCTCACTGCTATCGTTTTTCGTCCATTTCACAACAATAAAAATGCCCTAATGGTTTCAGGTGTAACTTCATCACCTACCCCAGCGACCCAATTCACTGCATGCAGTAGTGTTTGAGAAAATAACTCGCGTTTTCGGAAAGCATCCCTGAAAAGAGTGAATGATTTGCGGTCTACCACCTCCACTTTATCTTCACGTTCTAGATTGTTCCTGCGTCTTAGGTTTGCGTTCTTTCTATGAAAGAGGAAAGACCATTTTATTTCACTCATACAAGTCAGTGTGGGTCCTATAGCAAGCAGTCGTAAATAAACGACGTCATCCTCCGTCCGACGACCAATGTAATACGCGCGTCGTTCTTTTGAGTCCAATCCACTTTAATGTCATCTTTCTCTCAGTATCCCGTAAAGTTGGCAATAACGGACACCCGTGTTCTGGGAAATTGTACCGGAGTTTTTACCATCCTCACCGCGTATGACTACCCGAAAGTCAATTTTTTCTCAGCCATAAACTACTGGTCTCTTGATAGAATGGCTGAATGAAACAAGCTCGTGGCTAACTGAATTTTCAGTACTCGGTGAACCATTAAACATCACTCCAAACTCAACCAGTAGTAAAATGAGTGACCTGCAGGATCGCAGTTGTGTTCCGACGGATGACTTAACCGGCCAGATCACCAGCTCATGGAAAACTTCTATCTTGCTGGACCTGGTAACTGTTAGTAGCCAAATGTTCGCTCAAACTATGGTATTTGAAGCCATTTTCACTTCCACCAGCCACCGTAACGTTAATGGGGGCAACAGGGGTACCAGTAGGTGCAACTTTACGTTCACCTGACGAACAATGTAACAAGCTGAGCTGTTACCGGTCGAGTTAAAGCACCACCTGAATCGCTGTGGTCAGTCACCGCTACATGCGTTTAACGAGGTGACCGGGTTCCCAACTCCTTACCCTATCAGCAACAGTTGGAAAATTGTACTCAGTGTGGGTAGAAAATCAGAGTAACTCTACCTTGACTCACTTCCCACAACCTACGACGTACCCAAATGTTTAATACAAACTGCTTTGCGCGCTTGGTGTGATCAAACGCGTATTTCTGTGTTGTACGTACATTTAATCGTGGAATTTATCAGCACTTTTGAACTCCCCCCCGAGAGAAATCGGTATTTCACACTCAAGTCTGATAAAAGACGTTTTCTGTTAGGGCCACACAGTAATGTGTTTACAACACGCAGTAGAAGGTACGCTGAAGAAAAATGTCGCCTTCCAGTCCTGTTGCCGAGGCGCTGGTGGTTGGCGATTTGTGATTGGATGCCAAGCTGTGTATTCAGTGTTCGTGAGTGAACGCCTCGGGGAGGTTGTTATCCCCGAGATAAGCAAGATTTAAGAAGCGTATCGATAACGATGTTCAAGAGGAAGGACGATGAAACACACCGTCGCACGACATTACTGGATGTTGTGGACCCAGGGGGTGTTTGGCCGTAAACCCGCACGTGTCCACGGGAGAAAACATTTAGAGTTCTTTTAAGAGATAAAATTTTTTGGAATGGACGCCCTTGACCACCGGACGCTGCTTTCATTTCTGACAGTTCGTCGAGTCCAGCAGAGCCTTTGGAGCGAAGAAAAACGATCAGTGTTGGTTGTTAGAAGCAGTAACTTTGTTCCAACACTTGCTGTCTGGTGAAGATTTGGTCGATGGCTCATAGAAATGGCTCTTATATAGTCATATAAACCTGTGTAGGATAATCCTGGGGAACATCTTGGAAACTACGACAACCAGGTTGATGCCTAGGTGGTTTTCGCGCGAAGTCTCTGCACTCTTTTCGATTGATACAACCACTATCAGAGCGCCTCCTTCTATGAATGTTCGGTCTGAGTTCATCACATTTTGGATTATGGCCGTGACGCTAGCCATAAAGAATTCACTGGCTTCTGTGCGTACCATTTGATGTAAATTTTCAGCCAAACGATGCTTTGCGTCGGTTAATCAGTTCATCGTACACGCCGCATGCATTTAAACTAGCGCCAAGCCAGACACCAGGGATACCAATTTTTTTGATCTCATCCAGGATGAATGAATATTGTGTTGTACTTAACATCGATCAGTCTCAAGCTGATCACTGTCGTTTTACTGTGATTTGCTTTCGAATCTGTAGACCTCAATTTGCATGTCAATGATGACTGATGCTGTATTCGTTAGATAAGAGCTTAGTTAACCATGGTTTTGCCACAAGACACCGAATATATTAAGTAAAGTAACTCATTCTGAGGTAAATAACTGCTGTGTTCCAGGAAATCTACAAAAGAGGACTCGTTTTGCTCCAGGGGGACTTCAATCTATCAATATAGGGCCATGGTAGTTTGTTATATTGAAGACACCATTGTTTACCGCTCTTTGCAGGCATCATTCGATGGTGTTAGCCCCTGGTTTGTTTAAAGTATTGACACAAACGGAGCTTTGATATGGGATAATCGAAGTCCGAGTATGCCTCCAGTGAAAAGCATCGTTGATTGACTGGAACTCATTTTTTTAATTCCGTAATACTGCTGGCCGATGGGACTGCTAGACTGTATACCATTAGTTTGGCCCGATAATCCTCAATACTAAGGAAGTTGGCAGTTTCAAAAAAATTTATGACGGGTTACCTTCGATGATGGTCAGTTGATATCTGAGAGTCATTTCTATCAAACAATTTAATTGTGTGAAGAATTTCCAGTTAAAAATGGGGGGCGCAGATGCTGAAGAGACCCCTGAAATGGACAGCTCCATTTAATATATAAGCTGTGTAGTCACCAGTATTTTCACTACCAGTTTTTTCATAAGCCCTTCGAACAATTGAAATAGAGTTCGGGTATCACCCCCTTTTCTCCAAATCTTCGACAGCTATACACAAAACTACAGTATATGTGTATAGTTGTATTATGTTGAGTTGTGGGGACTACCTCCACGGGCATACTAAAAATGATCTGAAAATAAGCCTCCCGCTAGGGTAGCGTAAGAAGAACGGGAGAAATATCTGTTCCTAACAACTCGTATCCTCCGAGTAGGTGGGCGTTTCCCTACGCGTTGCTTCAAGGTCTGCTTTTGTTCCAGCTTATACTTCCATGAAGGCGGTGGCCGCTTCTACTCACTTCAAAGTGTATTTTCGAGCATCATTTTTGCGTTTGTCACGTCATTAGCTTCACTTGAGCATTCTGAATGTCTTCCAATTTCTCTGTGCAAATTTGACTGTCGATCATTTGGCACCTAATCTGCCCATGGCGCTTGGTAACTGAATTTTGTCACCATGTGACGGTTCAACGGATGGACAATGATGAAATCAGTCTTGGATAAAAGGCCATGCAAAGCTGTCAGTTTCGAGACCTGACAGTTCTGACGTAATCAGGAGCTGGTCAGAACAAAACCCACATTTTAGACTGTGTCCTTTCAAAACAGAATTGAGGTATTTCACTGATTAGCTACCGGTGAAGTTTTATTCAAGATGTTCCTGGTTTGGTAGTCCATAAACATGAGAAGAGGGCGCAGCTCTCAAAATTTTATTGCCTTGTGTGCTTCGGAACCGTAACAAAAACTCCGACACATGGAACTAGCTAGTTTTGATTATTCATACAAATTGCGCATTCAGCGATGTCACACACACACACACACTGGTTGCGTCATCCAGCAATTGTACAACTTGATGTAAGAATTGTGGGAGGTAAGGGGACCTCACTGGCCGAAAATCCTTTCACAAGTACTGGTAGTACAGAACTGACGTTTGCTGGCATACCGTATACATTTTTTGTTATTGCTTTACAAGTGGGTTTTCAAGTGCGTGTAGCTCGTACCAAAACAGTGCCCAAATTTTGGGTGGACTGCAAACCAATGAGTGTCACACGCGACAATGTAGGCGGTAAACCAATGAGGGGAGATCGCAGCAAACGGATAATCCAATGCAACCTGTTACTTGTCTCGACTTTATTCCACCGCCATACTTTATGCGTGACTGCGTTGCAGACGAATTGACTCCCAAAAGACAATTAAATCTGTCTGTCAATATTGTAGAGGGCACTAAGTAATTTTCAAATGCAATTTCGTCCTGTCAGTGAAGCCGTTCTATGCTGAAAAGCTGAACAGTACTGCACAGCTGTTCAGCAATGCTCATCTCATGATACTCAGAGAGTTTCAAACCAGTGACCTTCCGACCTGTGGTATCGTACTTGAACGATCGATCACAAGCCTCTGAACAGTGATGTGATTAGGTCTCACTTAAAAAGAATAAAGTTCCACTCATCCTTCAATCACAGAATCTACACATGCTGACTGGCTCCTCGAGTGACGACTTCTCTGTTGGGAGTTCCGCCCAACCTGTGGAATAATTCATCCTCCAAGTCAACTGTGAGCTGATGGTGGTGTGAGAGGATTTAATAAACTCCAATTGAAATTTCTTCCTGCAAGTGAAGCCGAAAGGTTAATTGTTCAACCACGCCGGAAGGTCATGGATTCGAAACTCTCAGAGTTTTCTGAGACGCGCATAGTTGACGATTCTCACTAAAGGTGAAACAGCTGTACAGCGCTACTCACCAAGTTAGCATACATCCGTTTCAGCGACAGGATGCATTATCACTTGAAATTTCCTGTTTCTTCCTACTCACAAGAGTTGTTTAAAAAGCGTCACTAAAAAAATTCAGAAAACCAACGTACTAGGATCGAACGAGCAGACGAACTTCTAGTCTCTTTCAAGGAAGGAACTTGGCCGTAGTTCGATTTGGTGACTCATGCATGATCTCAGCTGATGCTTGGTTTCCCCAGCATGATCATAAAGTCCAGCAGAAGGGAAAAACGGTATAAATTTCGATGGCCTCTGCAGGTAATAGTCGCTTTCGAAAGAGACGACTGCCTATATGTTCAATTCACTATACTAGATAAGCACCATGAATTCATCCCTTACGTGGTTAGGTTCAACTAGGAAAATTGAAAAAGGATGATTTTGAAAAAAATGTTAATATACTTTATTATTATGTATTTAGGAAAAGTATGTGGCTGGTTGTTTACGCTCAAACTAGCTAGGTTAACCGGGGGAGAAAGTGAGGTGCAAAGAAAACGCTAATGAGGGGCCGCAGAAAAAAGAAGGCCGAAAATTAGGCCTCCGTAGTAAGAAATATATTGCTGAATCCGTTCGAATTGAGCAAACAAAAACTGAGCGTTCCTTTGCGCTGAATGAGGAGAGAAAATCCTATGTCATCTCAAGCAAAGAGAACGAATACGCAAACTTCCAGTCAAAGAAGAACCATGAAAACGCAATGATATTCAGAGTCTGTAGTCTGAAACTACGGAATATTGATCTCCGTCACCTAAAGAATTGAACGGGAAGCAAGGTCCGTAGACCATCCCAACTGGTCAGGCCGCTCGGGATATACTTTCGTAAGAGTTAGTGTTGATGAGATCACGAGTCTTGTCAACAAGAAACCACATCTGCAGTACAATCGAACGAGAATGGATGGTACATGCAGCTTTGGATATTTGGAGTCTAAAGTTCAGGGTCGATTAATGTCACTCACCCTGCACTAGGATGGCTGTCCGAATGATAGCCAGATTTCAAATTCCATAGAGAAATTGATGGTGTGGAAAATGATGTACAGAAGCGACGTGCTTCCGCTTTAACTGTAACGACTATGTGCATCTTAGTGAATAATCTTGTTTCTCCCATCTCCCTGTGTGTTAATTTTTGCGAAGTCAAAGCTCCAACGTTTATTAACAAGAAGGCTAATTTCTAAACCAACAGATAACATGAGGAAGAAATCGTGATACAGTAGGAACACTGACTGGATCGATCTCCTTAGATTCAAATCTAATCTAGCTCATAGGTCTTAGTTGCACGAGCAGTTTTAATTTCCTTTTCTACTTATGAACACATACTTTAGTACGGTCGGTTTTGCAGTAGCGATGATTTCTCGCGTTTGTAGAATAATACCAACAAAACGCTATATTCCTTCAACCGCCACACAGTCACTTGGGTAATCTACAACGAGTCTGCCCCAAAGTGGCATTATTCCTCTTAGATTGTACACAGACACACATAAGACGAAAAGCCTGTGCACCAATTTGATTGGCTTTCTCTTTGATGCCGGCAGTTTGTTCCACCATCCGTGAATTCTTGAACACTTGCAAAACGTGCCCAACTGCATCGTATGTAGAATTGTCCGGAATATCTATCTGTTCCTTTGAAGAAGGAGAAAATTGGGAGAAGACGCTGTTTTGGGGATACCAGATCGTACCCCAACCGAGTGACAAGAGATCACCTGAAAACTTATAATGGGCCGTGGTGGTGGACGCACAAGGGCCAGTGGGGGCACGGCCTCCCAAGATGGGATTCTCACCTTTCAGCATTTGGCTTTAAACATGACTTTAGCCCAGTTTCTGATTAGTGGATATTTCGAAAAAGATCTTTTCAGCTACTGTGCCACTCGTTTGATGGATTATTCGTGCACTTATTGGCTTGATCCTAGCGTGGACAGAATTACACATACGGTCGATGTATATCAGGTGACATCGAACGGAATCACAGGCCACAGTAAGTCTTTATTTCAATAGTAGAATGTTATTGCATAAAGTTTATTGCACTAAACGCGGATGAAGTTTTCTTTCCAATGACTTCTCAGGGTCACCCTTAGCGAATCAAGCTAATCCTATTTGGTCTTGAAGATGACTGTGTTTGCTGTCTTATCATGGGTGCATTTGGTCCAGATCTCTCCGTTGCCGTCCCGAGAAAAAGTCGGAAGGCTACTTTTCGTCTCGCAGAGATTGATGTTTATCAGGAAGATAACCGCAGACGATGAAATAAGGTCTGAGGTCTTCTGATGTGGTTTTCTGCGAAGAAGGCATCAGAGCGGGAGTATGTGGTCCCAAGTGCTCCGAAGTTTGATTTCAGGGCCACCCACAAACATCAAATTTCACCGGATTACTCTCAGCAGTGCCGAATGAGTGTAGTTTAATCCACTCAGTACTCAGTATACACAGTACACCCAATTCGATGGTGTCTTGGAGAGTGACAAACCAATAAATCGTAAAATATATCTTCCCTTGCGACGAAAGTTGGTCTGACCTGTAGGTTTGCTGATAAGTTCGCTCATAAGTTATAGAGACATAATAATGGCCATGAAGCTGGCAAATGCGGAAACGCCATATTAGAAATGTGGATCATGGCTGTGGATCCACACTATTATTAATGTGAGAACTGCAGCACACCATAATCTAAGGTATCGAAGATACTCCATATGGGAATTGCAGAACTCGCCCCCGCCCAAACTTCTTCCTGCTCGAAATGCGTAAATATAAATATTGGATTGAATCTTTGCGCGTTAGTGATTTCCGTCTGGTTACATAAAGACTATGTCCGGCGAAACGACGCTTTTAGCTAGCCATGAGCAGATTCCACATCTTAATCAACCGTACACCTTCATTTTTAGCACAAAACAGAGCTAATGCGTGAATGAGCTAGATAAAACTCTCTTAATGATCTGTAGCACGTGAAAAACTGACAATGAAACGTGGGAATATTTATGAGGAGGCTATAAACTTTTCCCTAAAAAACTTAGCGGAAAATGTGTTCAGTCGAGAAGCATGCAACCCACTGGATGAGCTCCAATTTATTTTAAAACCGTCTTACAGGCACTTTCTCTGTGATATGCACGAAATGTGATGCCTCTGAAAAGTGACTCGAAACGTGATCTTGAAATACACCCGTAAAATACTATCAGCTGGGGTTCAACTTCGAAGTCTGTTTGATAATTGTTGATTTACATTAAAGAATATTTCCAGAGCTCCATTTGATAAAGATTTCACTCTGTGGACAAAAGCAATAAATAAAATGAACAAAAATTTAGAACAAATATAATGGTACCAGGCACTAAATTCTATTTTCCATTCTGGGACAATTTGGTAAGGATCAGCTGATTGGAAAAGGACAGCCTGCAAAAAATGAACTTAACGTTGCGGCTGAGTGAACTTTCACTCAGAAACGAATGTGATATGAATAGTTTGTGAAAGTAGTCGCAAGTGCAATCTCTTTCTCGGGTAAATATGAATTTATCTAAAAGTTGGAAGTGCTGTCTGGTGGGAACTCTGTCTGAGGGAAAGAACCCACAGCAGACATTTGTCCAAAAATTAGACTTAGTGAACCCAGGGTGTCACTTTCTCCTCAGCAGAATGGTGCTGTAGATGGTGAAATATTATCCGTGGGACTGGAGAAATAGTGCATTACTTCGGTTTGGCGACAGTAGCAGCAGTTCGGTTGCATAGATTGAAAATTCTTGTGAAGAATAGCTGAGGACTCAGCCATCAGTTGTCTCTGATGCTTGTCGTGAGTTATCTATGGATGCCAGTCGAATGCACTGTTTTTCTTTACTTATTTAACGGTGTTAGAGACTTTCGCGGCAGTCATTAGGATAACACAATACAGACCGTTACGCACCAACTATGAACATTGTCAATTTTCCATGCATCTCGGTTAGGAATACTTAATAGGTAAGACAGTTTATTATCATTAATACGAGAAGTCCTATAAATCCTTCGGTAAAATAGTATCATACATATCCAGAGAAAATTAATTGTACAGGGTCTCGTCGAATGAATTTTTGCGAATTGGCATTAGTAGGGACTTGTCAGCTGTCTGTCACTGTGCTGGACGAAACTGAACCGATAAATTGATGACTTCCGGTTTCGAGTAAGCGGCGCTGGTTTCCTCCATATCTTCACGATTACTTAGCAGATTAACTGATGAATTCAAGATGATAGTTGTGCCAAAGTTTCCAGGTACTGCTTATGTAAGTTAGAAGTATGTAAGTTTCGGTACCTAATTATTATGGGATTTGGTGATTTGAAATGGACGGGACCTCCAGCAATAGTCTCGAATATGGATAGGTTGGAAGCTGCTCTGAATGTAGATCTGTTCGGCCCTCATGACAAGTATCATACGAACATTTCATAAGAATTATGCACGACTGTCAGCGAACTCCATCCCATACGCTTTTGAGCTGAACTTTACAAACTACCATGTTTTCATTTTCCTATACTTATTCATGAGTGGGCTGGTCCACATTCCTTTTTGGTGTTGCATCGACCATGTCACGCCGAGGAAGATTTTTATTTGCATCTCCCAGTAATCGAAAATAACACAAGATGGAGATTTTTGCTTTCGACCAAATGTTTCGTGCAACACAGCTGGACTGCGCACCAGTCGCTGTACATGGTGGGAATAACACGTTCCGGGCCATTTGTTGCATGGTATGCCTGTTTGCTATAAGATGGACAGATCCAAAATGTTCCAAACACAAATGAGAGATAGATAAGAATACGGTCAATTATGCTACCGAATATCCCTCATAATTAGTATATCTCCTGTTGGTTTAGGTAAGATCACGAGTGAAAAATTATCGGTAACGCACGATATCTAGCACTAAATCAGTGTACAAGTGAATATCAATCAGACGAGATCTAACTGTACTTTTATTTGAACACCAAAAGCGATCAAAAAAGAATAAGCTGTCCGTAGGGGGAAATCGAATAGAGATGGTTAGAGTCGACGGATGCAGCCATACTTGGGGCTAATTAAGTGATAGATTCGATTATGGCGTTACTAAGGCGTATTCATGTCTTGAAACAGTGTGTGCCTTAAGAGCGAACGAGGATTCCCTTAAAACTGTGATCGTCATCATCACTATCATGTTCATCATCAAAAAATTAAAAAAAAGTTTCTACTAAGATCATAAACGATGGCAGACAATTTGGTTCTGTTGATGAAGTTGCAGGAACACGTGAAGGAAAACTGTAAGAAGTGAGCATTTTTTTGAAAAAATAATGGTTTATTCGTGAAATAAACATCTGGATGGTACATACTTGCTTCCTCAGCCTCCAGTTGGTAACAGTATCTACTCTGTACTACAAACATCACATGAAGAATATTGCTAGAATAGACCATATCCTGTTACCCTGTACATTTCGATTCGTCTAAGCTTTTGTTAGTATGGAGACGAAGTAATCACTGTTATTCCTTTGAGTCACATAATTACTTCCGCTGCCTACCCCGTCATTCGAATCACTATGAGAGACTCAGCTTAAGGCACCTTTGTAGTCTGGCATTCTGAAGCAATCTAATGTAGCCGGTTCACACGAATTCCCGATATCTTTTTTATTAGACGAATGATGCAACGCAGAGGTTGAAATCATGTAGGCTATGGTCGTCTTTACCGCCGGTTATTCTGGTCCGTTTACACTTTTGTTTACATCAACATCCTTAGTAACAGAGTAACCATCCTTCATGTACTTGTCTGCAGCCAATACTTATAGGTTATCTCTTAAACCTCATGCTTATAATGAAATTGCAAGAACGGAACTCTACGAAGTCAACTCAAAGTGCTGTAACTATGGTGAGCACCAATCAGGACAATCCACCAGGTTAACTAGGGCGCGGAAATGAAGGGATAGCGTTTTGAGTTTGGCAGAAAGACGTAACTCGTTTGGATAAAACAAGTTAGGTTATGACGAAGAAAAAGCGATCGTACCTTCTCTCTCTACGTATGTACGGAAATGTTACCGCAGGAAAATTATGCGTAATGATAGTTTGCGTTGCGCAATGGCCAATTATTGAACTTGCAATGGTGTCTGGAGGGCAATACTGATACCCAGTTGTGTGTCAGATGAAAACGGCTGTCGACCTACAATCTGCCGTAAATATGACGGGGTGAGTGATTTGCAGTCACTGTTTTGCGAACATTTTCCTAACAATCCAAGAAACATTGGCGGTGCGCGGGCCGATGGATCACAAAACAGTTTAACCACTGGTACGGGATGACCGGATGTTCAAAACGGACATGAAACTATACGGTAACTGTCACTACAATGCTGACAAGATACTTGAACAGAAAAAGGATAAGTTATGAGGCAGATTACTATAGTTTTACCAAAATTTACTCACTCGTTCGGGAAAAAAGTGCAGTGAAAATTGGATCTGCGTGTACTATCCTGGAAGAAAAACAGTGATTTCTCACACAAAGCAGGATTTCGAGTAGCAATTACACCAGAATTATTGCAAGCAACGATTCATTAATCACCAAATAATTCAGCGGCAAGTCCCCGGCAGTCTAAAAAATGAAGCCCAAGTCGAAGTAAAGTCGCTCAGTCGTATTCGAGATTAATGAGAACACATTTCAAAGCCTGCTTTCTACTTCCGCACTGTCCGTCCGTCTGCGCCAACATGAATGACGTATCCTTCCTTGAACCAGAATTAAGGTTAAATTCTGTTGTAAAACTGAACATTCTAGTATCATGCACGACATCAGAGAAGAAAACATTCAACCGGCTACTGACATGAACCGGAATTTTCCTCCATCGACATTTGCCGCATTTTTGATACTAGCATTTGAATAAAGAATGCAACGTGCACAGTCCTTTTGTAATAACTCACTCAATTTTTCGATTGAAAACAAGATAACCTATACAAAGGGAGCCCTTAAACATCTCGCGTTTTGGATAAATTGGTTATCAATGTATAGTGAGGAACGATTTATAAGTGTG